AGAATCTAATACTTCTAAAAATCTAATATTACAAGATCGCCTCTGCCTTATTGGCTGGATCGCCTTGGCTGGCTTTCAGATCCCTTCCATCCGTAAAAGTGCTTCCCCTGGGGAGACAGGCAGCGGGGGGGGGGGGGGGGGGAGAGAGAGAGAGAGAGAGAGAGAGAGAGAGAGAGAGAGAGAGAGAGAGAGAGAGAGAGAGAGAGAGAGAGAGAGAGAGAGAGAGAGAATGAGAGAGAGAGAGAGAGAGAGAGAGAGAGAGAGAGAGAGAGAGAGAGAGAGAGAGAGAGAGAGAGAGAGAGGGGGAGAGGGGGAGAGGGAGGGGGGGAGGGAGGGAGGGAGGGAGGAAGGGGGGAAGGGGGGAAGGGGGGAAGGAGGGAAGGAGGGAGGGAGGGAGGGAGGGAGGGAGGGAGGGAGAGGGGGGAGGGAGGGAGGGAGAGGGAGGAAGGGAGGAAGAGAGAGAAAATGAGAGAGAGATAGAGAAAATGAGAGAGAGAGAGAGAGAGAGAGAGAGAGAGAGAGAGAGAGAGAGAGAGAGAGAGAGAGAGAGAGAGAGAGAGAGAGAAGAGATGAGAGAGAGAGAGAGAGAGAGAGAGAGAGAAGAGAATAGAGAGAGAGAGCAAATGTCAAAATAGATGAATAGACAGAGAAAAAGAGAGAGTGGCAGATAAATAGAGAGGAAAGGAAGAGAGGGGAAAGGGGGGAGGGGAAAGGGGAGGAGGGTAAATTGGGGAAGGGGGAAAAAGGAAAGAGAGGGTGAAAAGAGGGGAAAGAGGAAAGGGAGAGGAAAGAAGGAGAGAAAAGGGACGGAGATGAGGGGAAGGGAGAAGAGAAGAAGAAAGAAGAGGGAAAGAGGAGAAGGGAAGAGAATAAAAGTGGGAAGAAAGGACGGAGAGAGAAATAGGAAAAAAGAGAAGAGAGAGGGAGAAAAAGAAGGGGAAGAGGATAAGGGAGAGGAGAATGAAGGGGAAAAGGGATAAGACAGAGAAGAAGAGAAAGGAGAGAAAAGGATATAAATGGAGAGAAGTGGAAGAAGAAAGGAAAGAGGGATAAAAAACGAAGGAGAAGGAGAGGAAAGAGGAGACGAGAGAGGAAGTGGAAGGATAATAATAGGGAGAAAAAGAAAGAGAAAGGATAGCAATAGGGAGAAAAGAAAGAAAAAAGCGAAAAGAGAGAAAGACAGACAAAGGGAAAAAAAACACGTAAAAACGAGGGAAGAGAAGAAGGAAATAAAGTAGAATAAGGCAAAAGGGAGGAAATAAAGAAGAAAGATGGAAATGGGAAAAAGGAAAATAGACAAAAAAAAAAAAAAAAAAAAAAACAGAAAGGAAGAGAAGAGATTAGAAAAGAGAAATGAGAATGGAGAATAGTCAATGTCCAGACTCCGTTTTTGTCTTAAAGTGGAAAGATCTAGTCACTCTCTACGGAAAGAATTCAGCCTTTGCCTATAAAGTTATGTCTAATTTTATTCCATCGTGCTTTTGAAATGTCTAAGTGTAAAATAAATGAATATTAAATTTAAGTCAATAAAAATGATAAAGTATATGAATAAATGAGAGATAGATAGATAGATAGATAGATAGATAGATAGATAGATAGAGAGAGAGAGAGAGAGAGAGAGAGAGAGAGAACGAGAGAGAAAGAAACAAGAAGAGAAAGAGAACGAGAGAGAGAGAGAAAAAAAGAGAAATAGAACGAGAAAGAAAGAAACAGAGAAAGAGAACGAGAGAGAAAAAAAGAAAGAAAAGAAAGAGAGCGAATGAGAGCGAAAGAGAGAGAGAAAGAAACAGAGAAATAACAAGGGAGAAGGACGGAAGCAGACAGACAGCGAGTCACAAGCAGGCCACGTGACCCTCGCAAATAAGCAAGCACCGGAACATGACCCTGACGGAGCGGCCTCGACCCTATAGTGACCTCCGGAGATAACGAGCCTGATAATTACCCTCATTAGCGCCGTCTTCATTTCTTCCCTCCCTTTCTTTTTATCTGTTTCTCTCTCTCTCTCTCTCTCTCTCTCTCTTTTACTCTCTCTCTCTCTCTGTCTCTCTTTGCATTTGCTTCTCTCTTTCTGTCTCTCTATTTCTGTCTGTCACTCTCTATCAATCTTTTCTTCTTTCTCTCTCTCTCTTCTTCTTCTTCATCTTTTTCTTCTATTCTTTCTCTCTTTTTTCTTCTTCTTTTTCTCTTCTTCTTCTTCTTCTTCTCTCTCTCTCCCTCTCTTCTTTTTTTTTTTTTTAATTTCTATTCTCTCTCTCTCTCTCTCTCCCTCTCTCTTTTTTTTTTTTTTTTTTTTTTTTAATTTCTATTCTCTCTCTCTCTCTCTCTCTCTCTCTCCATTATCACTTCGTTGCTTCCTCCTTGCCTTCTCCCCTTCTTTGTCTCCAGAGGGAAAGGGAAGATGCTCGTTATCTTCTCTCTGGTCAACAACCTCTTAATAGATATTGGCTATAATCTTCTCTTTGTCTCTGTCTGTCTATTTGTCTTCCATTCTCCTTTTCTTCTCTGTCTATTTGTCTATTTTTTTTAGTTTGTTTGTATGTGTGTGTATGTGTTTTGATATTTTCTGCTTTTCTTTTTATGTTTATCTTTCTTTCTTGCTGTTTTTGTTTTATTCCCTTCCTGTTTCTCTCTTTTTCTCTCTGTCTGTCCCCCTTCTCTCTCTCTCTCTCTTTCTCTATTTCCATTTAAAAAAAATACTAAGTGTATAAAACTGATATTTTTCCTTTTCTCCAAACTTGTTAAATGGACTTTTATTTCCGTTGACATATTCTCTTTCTGTTTTTTCTTCTTGTTTTCATTATTTTCCTTATTATTTTCTTCGTCTTCGTTTTCATTTTCTTCTCCTTTTACTTTTCTTTCGTCTTTCTCTTTTTCTTCTTCTTTTCCGTATTCTTTCTCTTCCATTTCTTAATCTTAATCTTCTTCTTCTCCTCCTCCTCTTCCTCTCTCCCCTCTTCTTTTTCTTCCTCTTCCACCTGCACCTTTTCCTTCTCCTTTTCTTCTTCCTCTTTCTCCACGTCCTCCACCTTCTTTTCCTCCCCCCCTCTTCCTGCTCCACCATCTCCTCCTCTTCCTGCTCCTCTCCCTCCCCCTCTACCTCCTCCACCATCTCCTCCTCCTCCTCTCCCTCCCCCTCTTCCTGCTCCTCTCCCTCCCCCTCTACCTCCTCCACCATCTCCTCCTCCTCCTCCTCCCCCTCCTCCTCCTCTTCCTCTTCTTGTAGATGACAGAATCAGGCATTTGAGATGATGGGGCATATCTGCAGAGCTCTATAAAAGTCTATGAAAGTTCAGGGAAAGTCTTTTTCGAAAATTCTTTTTTTTTCTCTTTTCTCTACTTCGCAAAAGTTTTCACGCCAGAATTGGATATTTTTTGTGTTTTTTTTATGTACTTATGGCAATGCTCAGTTCAGTTAAGTTATAAATGGGCGGCTTCACTCTGTCTCTCTTGCTCTCTCTCTCTCTCTCTCTATATATATATATATATATATATATATATATCATATGTCAGGCCAGGGAGATCCTGCTACTAGTAACATGTAATCCAGTACTGCCTGCCTCATGGTCGGGTCGTCGGCGACTAAACCGGCTCCCCCACTTGGCTACCTAGGTAACCCTGTGAGGAGGGTGTGGGGACACCCAGCAGAATCAAAAACAAGACCTGTCAAAGGACGAATGAGCTCCTTACGAACCAACGGCCATCCCCTGTAGCCCCTGGTGGTGCCAACGTATTGACCCTGTCTCTCCTTGGAACTCATCATCTGGGGTCAAGTATGCCTCCTGCTTCTTGGGCAACTCAGGAGCCTTCTTTTGCCCGTGCTCGTGCAAAATGGAGAGGTCACTTCATGTGGTGTGTCACAGCATCACACATCAACGCGGCAGAGGACAGTCACGGGTTTTAAGCATTCACCGAATTGACGTAAAGTGTTGCGCCACGGGTCCTCTGGGTCGGTGGCAATTTAGCTCCACTGATCAGCTACCGCCCGCCTCAGTCAGGCAGACCCTGGCCAATAAGGTGCTGATCCGTCACATTCGATGCGTCGAGGAGGTGATTGGCGCAAAAGTGAACGTTAATGACACACCTACTGATATGAAATCCACAACACTCCGACTTGGAAATTGGAACATTCGCACACTCTGCCCTGGGTTGACAATGGACCCCAACTGTAATTTAGACGTGAAAAGAGCAGCGCGCATGACTGCTTTTATCGACTGTGAACTGCACAACCTTGCAGTGGACATTGCCGCCCTCCAAGAAACGAGAATAGCAGAATCAGGCTCAATCAGAGAAGAAAACTACACCTTCTGGAGAGGTAAGGCTGAGGAAGAGCCTAGGATTCATGGAGTAGGCTTCGCGGTCTCAAACCAGCTAATCAAAGACTGCAACACTCCAATCGGCGTGCCCGAAAGGATCATGACCCTTACACTGAGGAAAAGCAGCATCCCAGTCCATATAATCTGTATCTATGCTCCCACTCTACCTAGCGAAGACAATGTCAAAGACCAATTCTACAACAGACTAGCTGATGTGTTGGACAAATTTCCACGGAATGAGTGCCTGGTCCTGCTAGGCGACTTCAGTGCCCGAGTCGGCTCTGATCCCGCCACGTGGCCAGACACTATTGGCCATTACGGTGTAGGGAAGATCAATGAGAATGGCCAAAAAGTCCTCGAACTGTGTAGCCAGCAACAGCTCTGCATCACGAACACCTGGTTGAAACAGAAGCTCCGACGTCGTGTCACGTGGAGACATCCGAGATCCAAACGCTGGCAACAACTCGACCTCGCAATCATCCGAAAAAAAGACACTGGCCTAGTCAAATCCTCCAGATCTTACCACTCTGCCGATGGCGGTACAGACCACACTTTAGTAGTGACTCATCTCAAACTACCAAAGCGCAAGCGTGTTCGCAGAACAAAAATCAGACTGCAACTCAATATTGCCAACATGAAAAGCTTGCTGAAAACATCTTCAATTTTCAAAAAATTTTCATGATCGAGATGTCCGATTCAGCCAGTAATGATACCGAGAACGAGACCTCAAACAAGAAATGGAAAACATTGCGCACTTCCATGATGGAAGCAGCTCTAGAATCATTTGGCAAAAGTAGGCCACCCAAAGAAGACTGGATGGCTGAATTTGCTATAACTCTAGATCCATTACTGGAAGCAAAGTCAGAAGCACACAGAGTGCATAATAACAGGCCTACCCGCGCTTCACACAGGGCACTACACGCAGCTCAGAGCGAACTCCAAAGAACATCGAGAGCCTGTGCAAACCAGTTCTGGAACACTCTGTGCGACGAGATACAAACCACAGCTGATATAGGAAACCAACGCAAACTATATCTGTGCCTCCGAAAAGCGATCGGGCCAACAACAAAAAGGATGTGTTCATTGAAGTCCAAGAATGTTACTCTTATAGCTGACCCTGCCATGCAGTTGGTACGCTAGGTTGAGCACTACTCTGAACTCTATGGAGAGCCAAGGGGCATCAGTGCTGCTGCTGCTCTTGAAGCCACACCCAACTTGGACGTGATGATGGAACTCGACCAGACCCCCACTATAGAAGAACTAGTAATTGCTCTGTCGCACATACCATCTGGGAAGTCCTCAGGTGCCGACGGTATCCCTGCTGACCTGTTGAAATGTGATGCCTCACTGCTGCCTCACTTGTACAAGCTACTTTGCAAATGTTGGCGCGATGCTGCCTTCCCTGCCGACATGAAAGATGCCAACATCGTCACACTCTACACGAAAAAGGCGACAAAAGTGACTGCAACAATTATCGTGGGATATCACTTATGAGCGTGACTGGAAAGACCTTTGCAAGAGTATTATTGCCAAAACACCAGAAAATTGCTGACTGCATATACCCAGAGTCATAATGCGGTTTCCGAAGCAGCCGATTAACCGCTGATATGATATTTTCTGTGAGACAAATACAGGAGAAATGCAGAGAACAAAACAGGCCACTCCATATGGCTTTTGTCGACCTCACTAAAGCTTTCAACATGGTCAGTCGGGAGGGCATGTTTGCTGTACTGCAAAAGCTGGGTTGCCCTCCTACGTTGCTCAAGCTAATAAGATCTTTACACGACGACATGCAAGCAACAATCTCCTTCGAGGGAGCTATGTCAGAGCATTTTGGTGTGCGCAGCGGTGTTAAACAGGGCTGCGTATTGGCACCCATGCTATTCGGGATCTTCTCAACACTCTTGCACCATGCATTTGGAAACTACAATGACAATGATGCCATATAGCTTCACACAAGGTCGGATAACCGCCTCTTCAACCTGCGTTGAGTTCTTATGCAAGAGCTACTTTTTGCTGACAATGCGGCCTTTGTCTCCCACAGTCCAGAAGGTTTGCAAAGTCAGATTTTTCTCTCATCATCAGCACCAAGAAAACTGTTGTCATGAACTCAGCAACAAACAGCCCATCAATCCCAATCTTTGTGGAAGACCAAGAGTTAAACGTAGCTGACAAATTCTGCTATCTGGGCTCCACCATCAGTACTGATCTGACCCACGACAGAGAGATGGAGGTCCGCATCGGTAAAACATCAACCGCCTTTAGCCGGCTGCGTGCTCGCGCCTGGAACAACAGACTCCTGACTGAGAGAACAAAGACACGAATCTATGAGACCTGCGTGGTGCTGAGCGTACTTCTTTATGGATCTGAATGTGGACCACATACACCACACATGCGTAATCTCCGCAGAATCATCAGTGTTTCTTGGAAGGACCATGTCACCAACGAAGAGGTTCTGACCCGTACTGGAAGCCATTCAACGTTTTACATCTTGAAGGCCGGAGAATGAGATGGCTGGGGCACTTACGGCGGATGAATGACGGGCGGCTGCCAAAAGACATCCTTTATGGCGAGCTAAGCAGCGGGCAAAGACAGAGGGGACGGCCCGTACTGAGGTTCAAAGACTGCGCCAAGAGGGATCTCGCGCAAATGGGCATCCCCTTGGAGAACTGGGAAGTAACGGCGTCCGACCGTGGTGCGTGGAAAACTGCTGTCCGGGACGGGAGTAAGAAGATTGACTCCGATTATCTAGAGAGTCTAAGGAGACGGCGTGTCATAAACGTGTGCTCAGGGCAAACCGAACTGTGAAAATTTTACTTTCTCTTTTCTTTTGCAGGATTAAATCTCCCGTAGATTGTTTGCAATATTGATTGATTGATTGATAAGTATGTATATATATACATATATAAATACATATTTATATATATATATATATAAATATATATATAAATGTATATATATATATAAATGTATATATATATATATATATATATATATATATATATATATATTTATATATATATATATATATATATATATATATATATATATATATATATATATATATATTCTAGTGCTCTGTCCTACGACAGGTTCATTTTGGCATCCATTTTCTCCATTACTCTATTCTCCATCAATTCACTTGATTCTTAACTAGTCTTTTCCACGTTACTGAGGGCCATTTCCGGACATGTCTGCCATAAATATAAAGGAAAGATCAGTCAGGTTGGTTTCCCGTTACCTTCCCTGACTTTTTATTGTGATACTGTCCGTAGAAGGGTTGCCGGTCCAGGCTAAAGAGTTCCCTCTGCCCTTATTTCTATTTATCCCGTAGATAGGACCCTGACATGTGCTCCACTCTGGGTCGAAGTGGACCAGGGAGCAAGAGTGGCTAAGAGGTGGCTCCATACTTCTCAGGATCAGGACCCTACTACGGGATGAAGTTTATCCTCCAACCCAAGTATATTCAAAGCACAGAAGCCCGTGACCAAGCTATAAGCCTGATCAAGTTTTACGCACAAGTGACTGGGTAAGTTCAGGAGATTGCAAGATATCCTTTTTTTCAAGACGTCTGTGAATCCAGATTATTGCAAATATCTTCTGGTTAGTCAAGGAGACCTTGTTATAAATCGTAAAGAAAAATATATTTATATGATTAAATTCTCTCTCTCTCTCTGTCTCTCTCTCTTTCTCTCTCTCTCTCTCTCTGTCTCTCTCTCTCTATCTATATATCTATCTATATGTGTGTGTGTGTGTGCGTGTGTGTATGTATATATATATGTGTATATATATATATGTATGTACAAATATACACACATACATACATACACACATATATATGTATATATATATATATATATATATATATATATATATATATATATATATATATATATATATATATATATATATATATACACACACACACACACACACACATACACACACACACACACACACACACACACACACACACACACACACACACACATATATATATATATATATATATATATATATATATATATATATATATATATATATGTCTGTTTTCTTGTGCGTGTGTGTGTGTGTGTGTGTATTTGTGTGTGTATGTTTGTATGTGTGTGTCTGTGTGTATATGTTTGTATGTGTTTGTGTGTGTCTGTGTGTGTATGTTTGCGTGTGTGTCTGTGTGTGTAAGTTTGTGTGTGTGTGTCTGTGTGTGTAAGTTTGTGTGTGTGTGTCTGTGTGTGTAAGTTTGTGTGTGTGTGTGTGTGTCTGTGTGTGTAAGTTTGTGTGTGTGTGTCTGTGTGTGTAAGTTTGTGTGTGTGTGTGTGTGTCTGTGTGTGTAAGTTTGTGTGTCTGTGTTTTTGTGTGTCTGTCGCATGTGCGTATGAGTCCCCAAGACCCAACACATAAACAAACCACACATTTCCCCCCTTCCCTTTACCTTTCCCCTCGAACATTTCCTCTCCCATCTACCCCTCATTCTACCTCCTCATCCTCCCCCTCTTATTCCTCTTCCTCTTTCTCCTCCTTCCTCCTCCTCCTTCCTCCTCCTTCTCCCCCTCTTATTCCTCTTTCTCTTTCTCCTCCTTCCTCCTCCTCCTTCCTCCTTCTTCCTCCTTCTTCCTCCTCCTCCTCCTTCCTTCCTCCTCCTTCCTCCTCCTCCTTCCTCTCCCTCTTTCTCCTCCTTCCTCTCCCTCTTTCTCCTCCTCCTCCTTCCTCTCCCTCTTTCTCCTTCCTCCTTCCTCCTTCTTCCTCCTTCTTCCTCCTCCTCCTCCTTCCTTCCTCCTCCTTCCTCCTTCCTCCTTCCTCCTTCCTCCTCCCTCGTCTCGTTCGAACCGTCTCGAATCCCGGATATTTCCCTTGAACTTCATTACCGCCGCTGCAATCAGGTGTTAATTGCGCATTACGCTGAGTAAATTGTTGCGAAGGGGGGGAAGGGGGGTGGGGGGAGGGGGGGGTCTGAGGGGAAGGAGGAAAAGGAGGGAATGGTGGAAATGGGGAGAGAGAGAGAGGGGGGGGGAAAGGAAGATGAGGGGAAGGAAGCAGAGGAGGAAAAAGGGAGAGGGAGAAAAGGGAAGAGAGGAAAAGGCGAAAGGAGGAAATAGGCAGAGGAGGAAAAGGGGAGAGGGAGAAGAGGGGAGAGAGGAGAGGGGAAAGAGGGGAGTGAAGCGGAAGGAGGGAGATGGGGGAATGAAAGTAAAGGGGAACAGGAGAATAAGGGAAAGAAAGGGAATGAGGTGAGAGGAAGAAATGGGAGATGAAGAGAAGGAGGGAGAAAGCAAAAGGGGTAATAGAGAGAGAGAGAGGGGGGGGGAGGTGAGAGGGAGAATGAAGGAGAGGGGAAAGATGAAGCAAAAGGAAAAAAAAGATATGGGGAACGAGGGGAAGGGGGAGACGGGAAGCAAAAGGAGGGAGAGGAAAAAGAGAGAAGAGGAGAGAAAAGGCAAAGAGGGAAGAAGGAGAGATGAAGCAGATCCAGGAAGGAGAGAAGGGGAAATGAGGGCAAGGAGAGAGGGGAAAAAGGGGAAGAGAGAAAGAAGAGAAGAGAAGTGGAGATGAGGAGAGAGGGGAGGGGTTGGGGGGAAAGGGAAATGAGGAAGAGAAAAAAGAGATAAGAGACAAGACGGGAAAGAAAGAGATAAGAGAAGAAGGAGGGGAAGGAGAAGAGGGGAAGGATTGAAGTAGAAAGGGGAGAG